CAAATTCATTCAAAAATAACTCTTCTTACCCAGTTTTCCAAGTTAAACACGAATCTGAACTCAATTCCTGTGATTTCTAAAGATATTATATCACTCTGAGAGTAGAGTCAGTGGTCACCGGATAGGGTCGCATACAGTATGGTCCATGCTAACTTAGCACGCCTGTATTTTCTTCTTGCAATTTAGTGATAAAAAACACAGTGAATATACCTTTTCACTTTTTGAAGTACACATAACACTCGGATTTAAATCCGAGGTTTTCGCATTTATTTTTTTCTGGCATCAGTTAGATCTATTGTGTGTAATTAAGGTATGAAATATGATGTTATAAGTACGATTAAATGTATATTCTTGCAATCATCTGGTTATCTTCAAAACGCACGTTCATCTCCAATGATCTATTTTTATTGTAATTGTTTTCTATACGTAATTACAAGCTAACAAACGTCAAATGAAACAGATGATTTCTCTTATCCGGTATGCTGTAGTTTATGGTGATGATAGGTATATTATTCTTTCTGCAAAAGACCAAGAAACACCAGCTAAAATTCCACGGGAACTGTTTGTATGATTTATTTAACATCGTTATCAAGTTGAATTGGCCATTGTTTTGACAATAGAAATGAAATAATTTTAGAGTGATTAAATGAATGTTTTCTTTTATTGAAGTGAAAACTATAAGACATAAGAGTACATCAATAATAAAAACGAAAAAGAACATAATTTAGCTTTTGTTTCTGTTTAAAATGATCGATGACATGATGATTAATATAAGCTAATGATGAAATACATCAAAACAGATAGATGATGGACAAACATAAGCACACAAAAAATAGAAAAGAATAATTGGAAGTAATCAAGTTTATTTCTAATTTTATTTGATAGTTTATTCGAGAGCACCACATTCCGTAATAACTATGTTGGCCGTTGGACTAAACAATGGTGAACCTAAATTTTTAATACATAAAATAAATTTTCATAGGAATAGCATTAGAGCAATAGTATACCATAACTTTCGATTATCTTGACAGCATCTAGACCATCCACGACTTCACCAAACGCCACCTATAAGAGAGAAAAAACAGTAAATAAAACAATTAATAAATTGTGACTGTACATAATACTCATTGAGATTTGGTGCTGGTACAGTGGTAATAAGAAATTGTGAACCATTTGTATTTGGTTTCCTAACATTAGCCATTGATAAAATAAATGCGAAAACCTCGGATTTAAATCCGAGTGTTATGTGTACTTCAAAAAGTGAAAAGGTATATTCACTGTGTTTTTT